GGGACACAATAATCAACTACATTGTATATTGACAAAATAAAAATAATTAAAAAAAAAAGAAAAGAGCGTTATTGTGTCGCAGTCATGCCTGTTCACTTAGGTGCCGCCTATAGCTGCTTTCCCACAATAGCAGAGAAAGCCAGGTACGGGAAGAGCTGGCCCACACTGGTCCATATATTCACCAACCAGATTTAAACATTTTCAACATTTTGTAGTTCAGGCAGCAGAAATTTATGCTTGAAGTCCCCTTTATGCCCCTCCACAACCTTTTCCTCTCCACCTGTTTGCTGAATTAACCACTCACCTGAGTTGAGTGCACAGTGATTTGTTCTTTTACTATGCACGCATTTGTACATAAACAATGTCCAGTATTGTTTGTGTGCTTAACATTTTACGGGAGTGGAATAGTAGCTCGTTCACTTTGACGGCTGCATAGTGCTCACGACTTGCACATCCATTCCCGCTCTGGCAGATATTTAGATCGTTTCCTGTTTTTCGCTGTTGTAGACACGGCTGCCATGCACGTGACGTCCTCGTCTCTGAGAGTTTACGAGGTGGAGTGCAGCCATGGGAGCAACTGGGAAAGAAATGGCTGCTTGTGAGGTTTGTGCCTCTTTGCTAGATATTGGCACACGAGCACAGCTAACGCGTGCTGGGGCCTCTTTACGTGTTGCACATGCCATTTCGTTAATCCTCTCCACAGCCCTATGATGTGTACACTATTATCTCAATTTACAGGTAAGGCAGTTGAGGCACACAGAGGCTAAGTACCTTGCCTAAGGTCACACAGTTAGGAAGTGGCAGAGCCAAGATGCAAAACCCTCACAATCCACCTGTAGGACTGAAGAGATAGACCATAGCACCCACCGCCTGGGAGCTCTCCAAGGTTACCGGACCCATTGTGTGTGCCACTAGCCAGCAACGCAGAGTCCAATCCCTCCACACCCTCGACAGCATGGGGTGTGGCCCCCCTTCTGCCCATATGATGGTCTGTCGTGGTGGGTGTAATATGTGTTTCCCTGACTGTTAGTGATGGTTAGTGTCTTTTTGCCTTTAGTGGCTGTGATGGATAATTTTATGTATCAACTTGGCCAGGCTGTAGTACCCAGTTATTTAATCAAACCCTTATCTATGTGTTGCTGTGGAGGTAGTTTGCAGATATGGTATGTTGTGAAGGTATTTTGTAGATCTACAATCAACTGGCTTTAGCTAAAGGAGATGATTCGAGAGTGGGTGGGCCTCACGCAATCACTTGAAGGCCATAGGAACAAAAACTCAGGTTTCCTGGAAAATAAGAAATTCTTCCTCAAGCCTCAAGACTGCAGTATCAACTCCTGCCTGAGTTTCCAGCCTGCTGGTGTGCCCAGTGGATTTCTGACTTCCCAGACTCCACAACTGTGTGAGCCATTTCCTTAAAATAAATCATATATATCGATATTGGTTTTGTTTCTCTGGAGAATGCTCGCTGATAAATGGTCATCACATTTTCTCTCCTGTGACTTGCCAATGTATATCTTTATATATTCCAGATACTGACACTTAGTCATATTAGTTGAAATATCTTCCCTCCAGGCTGTGACTTACCTCTGTGCTCTTTTTGATAACAAAATTCTTTTCCTTTATTGTTTGTGGGGTTGTGTGTGTGCGTGAGTGTGTGTGTCTGTGTGCTGTTAAAATATCTCTCTCTGCTTTGAGGTCCTGAAGATATTCTCCTGTATTTTCTTCTTAAAAATTTTGCAATTTTTCTTTTCCATGTAAGTCTTTCATCCAATAGAAATGGATTTGTGTGTGTTGAGTGAGGTGGGGGTTGTGGTGGATGCTGGGTGCTGGGTGCAGCCCCTCCTGGGTGTTCTAGGTATCTCACAGCACACACATATTAGTCATTGAATTGAGAATGCACACCATGGATTTCTGGTTATCATTTCATATTATGTGAAGATGTAGCCAGGCAGAGTTGGTGGTACAGGAAAACGTTGTACCTAGAACAGGATATTAGATTCAGGTATGTGACTTATTAAAGGAGATTTTCTTCCACCACATAAATTATTTATGCTGGAGTTTCAATGTGACATGATTGGAGATACCGGAGGCCTTTGT